AAGAAAGGACTTGTATCGCTGAATTTCCTCGGAAAGAATTTATACCGGAAATTAACAAACGAATAGAGACGTACCAGTAATGGTGGCACATAATACACTTGTTTTCAAATTTATATTCTTTGTGATGAAATAAATGTTGTTTCATTGTGTTTAACTTGTTTTCAATCTTTTTCTTCTCTTGAACTTAGTCGAGGTCGCAGAATTCAGATATTTGCTCCACAACATTTTCTGGTTATCATTCTATTATTATGCAGTTCCTACGTAATTACTCTAAGGGTTAGCAGTGAATATGGGATTACCATATTGGAACGAAAATCGGAGACAGACATCTACCAGATACTTTAGCTTAAGTTTTCTTGGTCATGTGACTTCTAAATATCTACTGCAGGATCTGTTAACAATTCTACTGTCCCATATGATCTACATTTCTGTGGATGCTAAGAGTGTAAGCTGAAAGTTATTGGATGACTTGATAGAATATTTGGAGGTGAGTGTGAAGGCTACCACAGCTAATCAATAGCACTGGAGTTCTTTTACATCTGTCAGATGGTTGAGTTCAGTTTGAAAGTTTCTCATCGGGGTTGTTGCTTTCTCTTTTCGCTTAAGATTCAAAATAGTATTATTTGTAGCCAGTTGTGCAGCTCATACATGTGTATCCTCTTGGTAAAACATTATTGGAGACGTACTGGTTGAAAGTATGACAGAAAAGTTCACTGTTGTGCAAGCATAAGTGCATGATGCCATTTACACATAAGATAGTGTTTTAGAAGCAAAAATTGACAAAAGTATGTTCTCTGAGAGATACTAGCTCTCACAGTGCTTATGCTTTGGTCAAAAGGTGAAAATTCTAGAGAATTAAACAAAGAAGGAAGGTAGAAAGTAGTAAAGTTGGTGCAGAAATGTAAGTTTTGTGTGCTAAAGCATGAAAGGGCAGTAACTAACAAATAGATCAGTGATCTATAATATATAATATGACACTGTAGTAGTTTGGATGTACAGATTTAATATTAATTTATTAGTTAAATCACTTAGATCTAAATGCCAAATGTCTGGATGGTGTTTGTCAGCTTAGAAATGGTATTTTCCATTTGGAAAATTAGGATAAAGAGAGCGTTAAATTTGTTAAGTTCCCTGTAATACTCAGCATCCAGTTGCTACATCAACAAAATCATGTGCTGATTGGTTCCATTATTATAAAATCGTTCATCACAGAAATTAACAACATTAGTTAAATGTGAGTACATCATAAACTGTAGATAAATCAGCTTATGAATGTATTTTACCTGAACAACAAATGCTGTTATTTGAAATTACTTGGTATCATATGTGGATAAGTTGAAAAAAAATTTGGAAAGCATGTTGAACCAGGGTAAGTGTGAAAGTATACCATTGTAATGTATAATGGGTAATTTTCCTTGGGTGAAGATACACGAAAGTAGTGTATACACGTTAATTATACAGGGTAACTGTAAAATACTGGAATGCAAGCGTGTGGTGTTCGTTTGTCCTTTACAAACAGTAGTGGCATACCCTCCTATCCTAGTTATATTTTAGAATATAAAACACAGGTTTTCACGCCACATGTATATAACATATATAAAGGTCTATTCATAGATTTAACTAAAGATGCCCTTCACAACTTGCATTATTTTTTCTTCTTCTTGTAAACATCAAACCTTAAAGACGGATAAGAAAGAACTTACACGTATATAAAGAGTGTGTTTTCGGACGCACGTAGTTTGTGGTGTGTCCTTTCATAATTTTTCTACCTTGCATGTATTTGTGTCATGATCGCATTTCTTCCTCACAGAATGCTTTTTTACCTTGAGAACTCGGCAGGTTTCCTTCACAAAACTAAACCATCGTGCTGTGACCATGACACCATTACAGTGCAGGCATTATAAGAAGACTAGATACAAGTCAGTCTTTCGCTTCTGTTAGTTGAGACCGTGAAAGAGAACATGACACCCGCTATTAATGAAGGTCTGTTCGTGATATTATTTTTAAACAGTGTCATCACATCACCTGTTCCTGGGACTGACTGGCTTAATAGAAAAGTAAGTAAATCCTGTATAAACGAATGAGATTTTGATAGGAATAGGAATCAAGTAGTAAGTGAAACATCCTAAAAGAAGTTTATTTGCTTTTGTTCAAATTCGCGCAGTTACTCGAGGGCTACCTGCGCTAACCGCTTCTAATTTTGAAGTGATAAACTAAAGAGAAGGCAGCTAGTTAACACCACCCATCTCCAATTCGTGGGCTATCCCAATCGAATAGTGATTTAACCGTTACTGTTATAAAACACTCACGACCCCAAAATGCATAGCGGGATTTTTTGTTTGTTTGTTTCCTATGGTAACGAGGCGCCAACTTGGGAACCTCGGATCGACAGTCCTACACTCTAATCATTAGACCACACTCGGCCCGCCCCCTCCTAAAATAGGAATACAAAAAAGATATGCTAATTCCAGTGCGACAGAGAGTCGGAGCCGCTGCGTGCCGGCCCGGCATGGCCAGGTAATTAGGGAGCTCGACTCGCAATCTGCGGGTCGCGGGTTCGAATCCCCGTCCCACCAAACATGCTCGCCCTTTCAGCCGTGGAGGCATTACAATGTGGCGGTCAATCCAAATTTTCGTTGGTAAAAGAGTAGCCCAAGAGTTGGCGGTGGGTGTTGATCCC